CAAGTACCCCAGCTTCACCAGGTCTTTGGTAATGAGCCTCTTGGGCTCTCCATAGATATAATGCTTCTTCCCCGGAAATACACAAACCATCTTGAGGAAGTCCCAGATCTCCTCTTCAGTGGCATGGTGACCCTTCATTAAAATCACCCCCAGCACAGACATCAATAACCCTGTCTTAGGCAAGCCCCTGCCAGGATGGACCCTTCCATTGTTGGGAAGGTACAGTTTGCTGACAAGAATGTAAGCGTCTATGATGGAGTAAGATTTCCTCACTTCAACTGCATACCCCACCTCAAGGTGATCAGCTGCCTTCTTCAGAATCTGGGGAAACCGGTGTGTGAATGTGGGGCCGATGATCATCATCATGTCTCCCTTGGAAATGAGCTGCTTCATTTTAAACTTGTACAGCATGAAGTGCTCCAGTGTATCTACCCTAAAGTCCAGAGTGTCAAGATACAAGTCCTCATTGTTGGGGGAATGTAAACTCTCCTTAGATGGTCCCTTGGCCCCTTTGTCAGCCACTTTGTCCATAGAAGTCTTGATGGTGGAAAAGAGTTCCAGGGGCCCTTGGGGTGTATGATGAACCTTAGCAGCTTCAGATCTCTGGGGGTTCCTGATATGAACAGGAGAGGAGGAGGAGGAACTGGGCCCTTGTCACATAGCTGCCTCAGCGTGAGCACCTCCATGATCATGGGCCTCCCCTTGAACTTGCTTGTGTTTCTCATACTTCTCGGTTTTATGCTTACGATGTGCAGGCATAGTTCCTCTGGTGAAGGGCAACATTCAATACCCTAAGCCGTAGAACAGGTGTTGTGAGTTCGGGGCTCGTGGGGTACTGAGAAGGTGTACACCCCTCGGTATGAAGATGTCTCCTTGGCTTTACTGAAACCACCTCTGCAATCTCCCACTAGGCCACTGTCCTCGGATTGCCAAACCTTCCTTGGTCCTAGGAGGCTGTCTTTGAAAATTCTGTAAAGGAAGGTAGAGTATGCAATAAGTCACTGCTTGCCAGCTCTGCCTGAGGTTTACTGGGGCTGAGAGCAGGGTCTCATACAGGGGAAGTCTCCATTATTCAGGGGGTTGGGGCATGTCATGTTTAGAGTAACCAGTCAACTGTAATGACAGCTCTCTTGCCCCCCTTTACTTCTACTGCTGTGAAAGTGAGCCCTATAATCAAGGCAAGCACCTCCGTGAGACCCCCAAAGGCATACATGGAGAACATCAGTTTACCATGGTGACCCAAATCAACAAGTACTGATACCTGTCTGGGAATAAATCATAGGCGCTTCAGCTGTTATTCAGAATTTTCCTCTGTCCCCCATGGAGAAGCTCAGAGCCCGCCCCTTGGTTGCCTGATGGCTGGATCCTCAGAGCATAGGTCTCACTTTCTTGGGATCTGTTGTCAAGAAGTGAGGGGCACACACCACAGCCCCTTCCCTCAGGCCTGGACTTTCAAGACCTAAAAGAAGGAAAGAAA